ATGCATTGAAGCAACTGCCATGTGATTGGTTGATTAGATAATTGCATTAATGAGAAATTGAACAGGTTTTCCTAATAATCCTTTAGGTGAGTGTACATTGGTACCTTTTCTTTCAGACCTAGTATGAATACAGATGTTCACTTCATGGTTCTCACTAATACCAAATTGAGGGCTGGATGATGTCTAAACCAGATTTTTCATTCCAACCCTATTTTAGGCTTATGTGCAGGGGTGCACATAACTGGTACGCAAGTACGCATTCACCTTTAAGAACGATACGTGCCACAATCGATTGATTGTGAAAGCGCAAATGCGTACTTATTTTATGTGCATTTGCGCTGCTATGAAAACAAAATATGTATTTTAATCTTTACAGTGGTACCTCAGTTCTTAAACTCATTAGAACTCGAATTTCTTAAAAGTCGAACAAACCAGTTAAAAAAAAAAATTACCTATAACTCCTTCCTACAAGGACTTGTTTCTGCTGAATTTACATCCAAAATTACTTGGAGCCACTGTTTCTGTAAGATGACCGTTGCATTTTTGAGTTTGATGGCTTTCTAACCTAAACAGCAAAGCCTCCAGTTCACAACATGCTTTCAGAGTGATTAATGCTCACCTTTACTGATTTTCATGCAAAGAAAACGTGTCATTAATATTCAATGGATGAAGAAAATGCCATTGAACAAAAAAAGCTTACTACATTACATATTCATGTCACTGATTAATGGGAAATTTAAACTTCAGAATCATGCAGTGTCCTGCAGATTTGGTTGACCTGCTTATCGGTACACTAAGTGAACAGCTAAGTGAATTTGCACAAGCTACTGGCCTGCTATGTTTCAGGGCGGTATGTTGGCTCATTCGGTAGCACTGTGGCCTCACTCCTCAAGGACTGTAGGTTTGATTCCTAACCCCAGCTCCTTGCATGTTCTCACTGAGCTTATGCAAGGTTTCCTTGATTGACTCGAAAGTAAAGCTTTATTGTCTCAACCATGTGTAGCACATAGTGTTGTTTCTCCTGAACCCATTGTGAAACATTTATGACAGGACAGATAGTAAATACTGAAGGCAGACCTATGGAAAAATATACATAGTGCAAAAAAATCCCACATAGTTAAGATGAGGAAAGACTACAACCTATATTTCCTACTTAACGTAACATAACAGAGCACAACATAAACATTTTACATTAGGCCTACTACATACACTGGGAAGTTAGTAGGCATGGCCCGAACCACATTTTTTAAGTTCCGATCTGATTCTCATCCTCAGCTGCCGATACCAAGAGATTCCGATAGAAGAGCTTTTAATTTAATATTTTAATATAATAAATATATAATATATAAATATTTATTCCATTCAATTCGATTATTTTTTTATATAGTGCCTTTCACAACAGAGTCGTCCCAAAGCGCTTTACAGGGTTGTGTTGTGAAACTTGTGATACATAAAATATAATTAGAAAGGGATACAGAACGAGAAAAAGGAAGGAAATAAATTAAATAAAGAAAGCCAGATAACAACAGAGGAGAGGAACCAAAAACTGCAAAATAAGGAGAAAAAAACCTCTGGTGGTCCAAGGTCAACTCAATGTGTCCGTTATCCATGTTGGCCATTTGGTCTATTTCCACCTCTCAAACTTTGTTTTTATAAAAATTGCAAATCGTTCTGCCACTAGTTGTTGTTAAAAGTGTAAAATACTTGGAGATCATCATCACCCTTTTATGTGATGTTATGCTTCTCCTGCTGCAAAGAGTATGCGCATGACGTTAGAGCAGGCGCTCAAACAGGCGCTCAAACCCACTGAGTGGTAAATAGATTGAGAGTGGCTTTAGCGTTCAGCTTGAATGCCGCAAAATCACATCTAAAATGGGAAAGATGTGTTGTGGGACAGACTGTACAAATTGACTTAACAAGAAATAGAAGTTATCTTTTTACAGACTGTCAAAAAGTTTTTGACAAAAACTAAGTATCTAAGTAAGGAAGTATCGGACGTGGATCGGTTACATATGGCCGATACCCGATCTGTCTAATAGGTACGGATCGGTGCACTTCTAGAAATTAATGCATGGAAGCTCTGTCCATGCTTAAAGTGGAGATCAAATGCATGTTTGAACGACTGTCTCTGAATTGCCCTCACAGGCTGTCTGTTTGCGCCAGTGCGTGGCGGGCGATGGCTGACCCCTGCCTTCCGACGCGGGCGCTGCGTAAGTGTTTAGGAGGGTTTATTTTGGGTTTCGGTTGTCTCTTTGTTAATTTTCAGTTTGATAAAAACATATTTTTCTTTTCAGTCTGGTATTTATATCGTATATATTACAGATATACAGAGTTGTCAACTTTGGTCCGTTGGCTGGCGTGAGATTTACGATTCGAGACATGTTTGCACACGCCTTGACAGTTTTATTACCACGTAAATAGTCTGTAGGGTATCCAAACTTAATTTTAGGTTTATAATGGAATAATATGGATTTGCCTTAAGATTTCATGCGTGAGCATGAGGGTCTGAAAGCATGAGTGCAGATGCATGAGAGTTGGCAACCCTGGATATTACCTGTGCTGGCTTGCCTGCAGTATATGTGATAAATCACATCAGTTCCACCTTATTATGGCATTTACATGAACTATCTCCTGAACGGGACTTGTGAGCATGTGGCATTTAATGCCATTCTGTAATCCAGTACAGAGTACAAAAATACTCGCAGTGGCCCATCTATTATGTAGGCCAAGCTAGTACTAGGTAGGACCCACTTTGGCCTTTTTTAATAGTTTATTTCTATAGTCTTATTATTATTATTATTTATTCATTTGCTTATCTATTTATTTATTATTTGCTTCTTACTTTCTCTTTCTATCCTGAAAGCTAGCTGTGAGCTACGCAGAATTCCAGTGTACTTGTACAGCTCTGTACCTGTCATTAAAGTCTGTCTGTCTGTCTCTCTGTCTAACTATCTATCTGTCTATCTATCTTATTAGTCCCACTTCATGGGGTCACAGAAGGTGTCATAGCATACAGAACTGCCACGGGCTTGAATTTCACAATTCTCTGTAAAATCCATGCCCAGTAGTATGTGAAAACCTCAGGAAAATGGCTTTTTTCTGAGATTCAGTGACCTCCACACCTGGCAACAACAATCACACCAGATTCAGGATCGCTTACATCATGACATCATACTGCATAGACAGTGACTCAACCTTTTTCTCAGTATTCAGTTACAACCACATGGTTTGCTGTTTGGAGGAGGTGGCTGTTTGGGTGACCAAGTGGATGTAGTAAAAAAATTGGCCATGAAGTTCATGTAAACTAGACAAGTGATATTTAATGAGGTTCATATAATTGAAAACCACAGTGGAGAGACTGGATTTGGATTATTATTCTGACTTTCAGCTTCTGCATTCCGGTTGTACTAATTCCTTCGTGATGAAGATTAAATACAACAGCGATCGCAAAATCCATAGGCATACTCACAGGGACTTAAGTGCCGACAGTCTTTACCAGGTTGAAGTGTATCTTTGAGTTTCTGATCAGGCAAGAGTCTAAATAAGTTAATGACTTTTAAACATTTACTTGACAACTTAGATTGTTATTGCTGAGGTTTGGCCATTACGCTTTGGTGCTAGGTGTTGTATAGCCAACCATATTTGTGGTCAATTTAAGAATATTTATGAACTCTGCATGTTTTGAAAATCACTAGGAGTAGAGGGATG